ACCTCCACTATTTTCATACTGACTGGACACACAATATAACCATGACAAAAGTCCTTTTCCTGCTCTTTTAGCAACTGACTTGCTTCCCATCCTCAGTACCTGTGCTGTATGTTTGATTCACTCCAGTTCAAATCCCATCTAGCGTGGTTCTACATGTTTTCAGGAGCTGGCCCCTTGTGAGGAAGTACATCCTTTAAATCATTGCTGACTTTAGCAACAGTACAGCTGAACCTACTCCCAACAAATTTCACTCTACTTTGATGCAAGACCAACATAAATGAGATCAGAAATGTGATTCATCACTTTTAGAAACCACTTTGCTGTGTTTTTCAAGAGTCATGATGCTCTCTCAGCTGAATTTTACCAAGAAATCGATTATCTACTAGCAATTGCATTTATCAAGACAGGTTTCCAGTGATGTAAATCATTGTCACTTTGCTGAAGCTGGTAGCGCCAAGCACAAGCTGGGCAAGTAGCCTACCTCTTATTAGGATGAATGGCAATATATGATACTTGTTCAGCTGACAGACATTTATGGAGAATAATTATGGAGACTGCAAGAATATCAGTTACTTTGGCATGTTAATAGTTTCTCTTTAATTAGATATACGGGCACAGAAGTGATTGCAAATAATTCAGTTGTTGCTGAACTAATGTGTCTTTACCAGGACAGGTCCCCAGATGTACTTTGTTCTGCACCAAAGAGCAGTCCATCAAGTATGGGAAGCTCTTCAAGCGAGACCAAGGCTGGAAACACCATCTGTGAAGTAAAACTGAGCCCAAGTGTTTTGTTTACCACAAACTACCCTGTTTGTGGTGGTGTCTAGCCAGACCCAAGCCCACCCCTAGCTAGAAGCAAAGTGGATGTGGTACCAAGCAGCTGGTGTTATTTGGGTTTACATGGGATACAGCAGGGAAAGGAGAAGAGGTATGCTGGGGAGGATGAGCCCCTATCAGGCCACAGTGCTCATGGGGCAGGCAAGCATCCTGCTCTCAGTGCTCCTGGGGATGGAGGTGGCTTTAAGCAGCCTCTTCCATGCTATTTTCAGAATGCAGTTTGAAAACTAAACACTCTTTCGCTTTTGACCTCAGATATTAATATCTCAAAGAATTACCTTGTCATTACGTGGAATATATTATTCCAACCATGCTTAATTTTAATAACCACCTAGCATTAGCAGTATGACTTGCTTTGTCAAGCTTTCAAGGTCACTGAGGAGTTAGTTTGTAAGGATCCAACTGAAATTGCAGGTGTTAATGTACGTGAAACACTGGTATCTGTATATAGTAACACAAGACCTTTCCACACAGGAACATTTTTAATGCTAACTGCTTATTTAAAAATCCTTTCTATAGACCCCTTTTATTTTCTTATCCTTCATATCAAAAAGCCCTATTTCAATCCACTTCCTAGAAAGCTGGTGAGCAAAGCAGCTTCCACTTCTCCCTCCAGACACTACAGCTGTGATATCACGAGGGACCATCTTCCCCAAACTCCATTTCCCCAGGAATTTCTTCCTTTTGGTTTGCAGTGAACGCCACAGGGTAAAAAGAGAGCAGTGAGCTATGACCTGGTATTTAATCCCTTGTTTCTAGGAGTAGAAAGCAAAGTTGGCTGCATTTCCAGAATGGATGCTGGCTTAGTAACTTCTCCCAGTGTCCTATAGCAACCCTGTTGGCATACATCACCCTTAACACGGACACCACACATGCGCATACATCTATGAGTGCAAAACCTATATGCATTTCAGCTTCCCTTTTTTAACCCAAATGGGGATAATGGAGCATGGTGTGGATGATCCCGGCTTTTCTGGGATTTAAGGAAAGACTGAACTCCCCTCACCCCCCTGCCTGCCTCCAATAGTCTCCACAAGAAGGAGGAGAGCTGCTTTGTTCAGCATCAGCCATCCTTGCTTAGAAACAGAATTTGCTTTCAACGAGACACACAATTGCGACACATGGCATTCCTCAAAACAATGCCATGTTTAGCAATTTGTAGCATTAAACATTGAAAGGAATTTTCTCTGATGGAGTTTGACAACTTTGCCCAAGAAATAAAATTAAATTTCTTCAAGCTGCCAATAGTCTTTAATAGAAGCAGATTTAAATACAAACTAAAGTTCCCTCACACTGTGCTGTAAATCACAGGGGAAATATAATTCATTTGCAGCAGTTTTCAACAAGAAAACTTGGCAGCCTTTCAGCAAGTTTCATAATTGCTCTATTTTAAACTTCAGCTTGAAAATGCTCAAGATAGCTTTTAGTTTTATTGAAAGGTTAATTTCACACCTACAGAAAAATATCAGCTTTCCATTAGCTCTAACGGAGTGTTAAATGTGAAAATTACAGTCCCTTCATATAAATGTGCAGAGTTTGTTGCATTTTTAACCCAGCTCGTTTTCCCATTCTTTCCTGGGCACCGAGTTCCATCACTCATTGCATGGACTTGGTATTGCTCCTAGAGCTGCAAGACAACACTGGCTGCAGCAGTTTGGGTGCTAGCTACGTGGGACAAGCACTGAGCAGTACTACTAACTCTTCACGGATTTAGGTCTCAAAAACATCACCATTTTTGCATCTCTGGACTCATTTTATTTATAGAACAGTACAAACAAGGGGTAGACAAACAAGAGATTTACCTGTCTCCCTTCCCATCCATAAGCTACCATTGGAGGCCAGCCTGCTTCTGTGGCCCCACCTCCCATGACCAGGCAAGAACAGCTCCTCTCCCACTGGAGGGGTCAAATTAGGGTGCAGAATTAGGAAGAACCCCAATAGAATACTTCTGGTGACCTATGCACTTGGTACAACGCTCCGTCACACAAAGGTGCACTGGGTCCATCAGTCATTTGGGCTGGGGGAACGTCCCTCTGGAGCCACTCCTACACAGCCAGTGGAGCCCCAGTAGGGCACTTCTAGGAAACTAGAGCTAAATATCTTGCTGTAGGTATTTTGTGACGCAGCCTGAACCTCAGCCTCACATGTCTTAGACCAGGTTTTGGATGGTCCCTGCAAACATGATGATTTAATGGTTAGTGTTTTGTGATCTTCACTTCCCCAAATCTAGTGCTTTCCCCCAGCTTCTTGACTCAGTGCTTCCTAGCAATTAAACACATATAGCACTTGTAGCAGTAGTGTCAGTTACCCCCATGGATACGGACACTTCACGGCTCCCAGAACCATCATTCCTCCAAGTTTGTGTGCGAGGATGAGCGTGCACACTGTTGGAGGGGGTGGAGGACAGGCAGATAGAGAGGAGTGAGTTTGTGCAGCCATATGCAGAAGGAATGACATTAGAGAAAAACCTAGCCTTTGCCTCCAGGAAAACTATGAATCAGTCTCTCCTTTAATGGGAAAAAAGTCACACTGAATTTCATTTAAGTGTCTTAAATTCAGTCTCACCAGAAACTATTTATCAGGTGAAAAGGGAAAGAGAGTGGGTTAATTAATCCCGAAGAATCCTGGTACCTGGCTGTGTGCAAGGTTATTTACCATTGCACTGTTTTCCCTTAGGTGCAAAGCATGACCTTGTCATTGCCAAGGACTTCTGCTTGAGGAAGCTGATGCTCAGGGCAGAGAGATCATCTCTGGCATCTCATCAGAGCTGCCATATCTCCCCATCCAACCAAGCAAGATTCAGTTCACAGCAACCAGCACACGCAGGTGCTGAGCCACATTGCAGCTGAGATTACAGCGCATACGTGGGCTGCTGCATCCCGGGTTCCCCAAGTACAACTTAAGCACTACTTGCAGACAAAGGTTTAATACAACAAAAGAAGCAGGTTTCTTGATTGAGAGCTACATTCCCTGCCATGAGCTGCTCTGTGTCAGTACAATGGCACACGGGCAGGCCATGCAGCACAGCACAGATATAGGCCACTGAGCACCTTCTCCTCCATAGCATGCAGTATCCATCTCACTCAGGAAGAGCTCCTGGAGTTTTGGTAATCAGTGGGAATTTTTGTTGCAAGCTTCATATCCACAGTCCCCAAGAAATAACTGGGGGCATCTCATGCCCCAGAGCTCTGGTAAAGCAGACCTCATGCATGGCAGAGACAACCAAGACTGCAAATAGGTTGGTGTGGACTGGAGCAGACTGATTTGGAAAAGAGCTTAGAGAAGCAGTTTTCAATCAGGTGTGGAGGTTGGGAGCAGCCAGTGCTGAAGCAGAGGTGGCATTTTGCCTTTTTAAGACCGGCATGTGTGAGAAGTTAGGCAGAACGCTGATAAAGAATAAAAGATAGCAATAAAATAAGTGAGTTTTCTTTAGTTGCTTGCTTCTCTTTTATAATGGGTTTCTAGTTTCTCCCCACAATTATGAAAATAAATAACTTGGATGTCTTGGATCCTCTTGTCTAGAAACAGCAGGGAAAATGCAGCTTATGAAAGAACCTGTCTTTTTAAAAACAAGCTTCCTTTTAACATTTGCAAGTTATCAGCCTTACAAGGATCCTGGCAGCGGGTGAGCCATCCTGCAGGAGATGGATGGGCAATTGCTTGTGCAATTTGGCTGAGTTAGTGGGAAGTTGAGAGAAAGAAAAGTTCAGTCATCAGTGAGAGCACCTCCAGGCATCCTTCTGAATGCCCCAGGTGAGCAGCATCCCTCATCCCAAAGGCAGATAACCTTTATACTTCTCTCTGGCATTCAGTCTCTGGCCTTTAGAATCGTTGCTCTTCCGATCTGTTCCATGTAAATGATCACACTTCCCCTTTTTATGATATTCTAATTAAGAAAACTGTGATAACAGTAACTAATTATGTCCATAACACATTTTGAAGTGCTCTCTCTGCCTGTCAACACTCAGAACGGGAGTCTAAACTTTGGCAGGGGTCCCAGAGCCAAAAAAGGGTCTGGAGCAAGATGTCATTAACCTCCTGTCATGAATCTTAGATAAAGAAGTTCCTATGAACAACCAGCGGCTCCTTTGCCATCAGTCTCCAGGCCCCTTGTTCAGCATTTCTAATAATAAGCAGCTCAGTTGCACTATTCTAACCACTCTCATTTTATGATCCCATTATCCTGATTAAATACCCGTTTGGAAGGATTGGGTATTATGATGCATTACAAGCAGTATTTTATGTTTTAGGAGACTCTGAACTACCCCAGCCCTTTAAAGAAAACCCTACTACAATCAGTACAATTGAAAAGCTTCCTCAAATACACACAAAACCATCAAGTTTTGTCACCTTGATGTTTCAGCTTCAGTTTCTTTCTCCCATTTCATAGAGCTGCTTAGTGCAACACACGTGCACCAGAGAAAGAACGATCAGGGCCTGGGGAGCCCTTCTTGTTGGGGTCAGAAGGGAGAGCTTCCCAGAGCTCCAGAAGTTGAGACACAGGGGTTTCCAGGCTTGGGGGAATACAATCACATTTCAGCAACATGACACAGCAAAGCTCTGCAGCTTGTTTAACTGGCTGAGAATACAAACACATGTAAATTTGAGAAGTTCCAGCTGTTACCAAAGACCTGCTTTGTTGGGACAGGGCAAGAGACGTGATGGTCAATACTCCCGATGGGAGATGCCTTGAGCTACTGGCATTACAAACAAGTAACCTCCATCCCCAGTTCCTCCATCTACCAGTAACACACCCAGCTTGGAGCTGTAACTTCACCCTCCCACTGCCCCAGTCCTACCTGGGACATTCAGGGCTTCCTGGCTTCCCACCGCGTTGCCTCCCCTCCATAATGCAGTGCTGCCAGCTAGAGCCCTGCAGGCATCTGACTGCCTCCATAAGGGTTTTTTGTTATTTAAAATGAAGGAGAACAGACTCCTGACTGTCAAATGGGGGGGGGGGGGGGGGGGGGAGTGGTGTTCAAGTTACCCTATAGCATCTTTGGCCAACATGTTTATACTATTTTTCTCCCTGGTTTAATTCCTGAGAAAATCATCTAACACACTGGTTTTCACTTTGTAAAAAGAGACGTAAACCATTTGAACGCCACAGCCCTCAGCTGTACCTGCAACAGCAAAGAAAACCCATCATCTTGATAAATAACAGGTGAAATCCACAGGTTTCTGGCTATCTAGATGGTAGGGAGTGCCTCTCTACTGAGTTTTAATACTTTAGCCATGTCAACCTGTGAGTTACAGCTTTTTGCAGTGGGCAAATTGATTATATAGATTCATGTGGTCTACAGAATATGTGATATGCACAAAAGGTGGCATAAATATGTATTACAGTGCTAACAGCTTGTTTTATTTCAATGCCTGACAGGTTACAGCTGACACTGAAGAGAACAGTGATGAGCAGCCACTTTGCAAGCCCTCTCTGTAAAAGGCAAATGTATCTGACAGTGGTACTGGTGGGACAAACCTTCACAGTCTTCAGCTAAACTGTTATGATAGGGACTTGAGGAGCTCTGCAATGCGGTTTCAGGTTGTATCTGGTAGTGTGCTTTGTATTCTCCTGAGCTGGCTGCAATTAGAGATAAGTTATCTGTCATTTCTTTTGGATTAACTTGTACCATGTCTGTGTAACATGGTAAAGTCCTGCTTGCCATTTAGAAAGCAAAATGTATTCAAATGACTAGATAATAAGCCTATTAGCCATGCTAATTTAACTTATATTATCAGGGTTAAAAGCATACAGCTATTGCCAAGCCCATGGGTGCAATTTAATGAGAAACAGCTAGAGTGAATCAGATCACAGCAAAGAGCAGTGGCTGGGCTAATCAGGGCAGACCAGACAGGTGATACAGATGCTCCCCACATCTTTCATAACATGCTTTCAGAAGCATCCTTCTATGATGTACCACAAAGAGCTGCAAACTCGGATCACAAACTACCTGGTTGGATTTCAAGGGTGTAGCAGCCCAGCAGCCACTATGCCTGCAACAAGGCATCCCAACCAGCCCATTACATTAAATGCTGTTCTGTGTCTTGAGACAAGGAGGCAGAAAGGCACAAAATGTAATCCGTTCTAAGCAATGTTAAGTGTGATGGCTTTATAATGGAAAATAACTGCGGTGCTTGAAGGTCGTTGACATAGTTTCAGGTCCCTAGGACCTTAGTACAAAAGGTGTAAGAAAAGCAGAATAGAAGGACAGGACCTGGGGATGGGGAGTATCTGGGACTAGCAGATGTCCAGGGTGGGCACCGTTAAACTAACAGATAAGTAAAAGGACAGGATGATTGCTATGTTTGGGGTATTAATAAACCCATTAAGGTGGTGTAAGCACCTACTAGGGAGTATCGGAGCCTAGCAGATGTCCAGGATGAGAGCACTTAGACTAACTGATAAGTGGAAGGACAGGGTGATTGCTACGTCTGTAATGTTAATTAAGCTGGTTATGAGCATTGTTGAGAAAAACGACCCTTAAAGACCACCACATTTTGTATGCATGGGGGAAACTTTCTGGAAAATGATGTAATCTGCTCGGTGACCATATAACCTGTACAGCAATTCGGGGACACACGTTAGGAGGAACTAACCCCCGTGTCTCCCGGCGCCGCAATAAAGAATACCGCCTTGTCAACTTGAAACTCTGTTGGCGAGTTTGTTCCTGGAGTTTTCTCCGAATCAGTCTGCACACTGCAATCTCATGAGCTGTAGAGTTTGCACATGGAGTCGAGAAAATCGGGATGCAGGATGACCAGCACGAGCTTGAAAAGCAGCAGTGAAAAACTAGTCATTTTTAAGCTGGGTATTTCCTTTTGATGCTGCTTTGAAGGCGTGATCAACTGTTATGGGAGCTTTTTTATGTCATTTATACCACTGCAAAGTGAAAATAAAATGCTCCCAAGGCTAGAACAGCAGCTCCTTGCTCCCGCTGTGGCTGCAAACAAAGCAGGTTACACCTCTGCTTGAGAGGTTTACAGCAGCAGTGGTGGTGCTGGACCTCCCCAGGGAAGAGGTTTTGAAGGTTAACCAAGACTGGGCTCACAGGCAAAGGCTGATCTGTTACTACACAACACACCTTGAGGGGTTTCACGTTGTGATCCCAGGCAACAAGAATGAGGGTGACGGGGCAAAACTGAGTCTCTCCCAGGGCAATTTTGCACTAAAATGCAGAGCTCTCCTGCAAATAATGCTGGTTGGGGATCAGCGGCTTGGGTGGAATGGAAAAAGTGAAGGGAATATTAGAAGAAAAAAAGCCAAGTTTCAATTGAAATATATTTAATGATTAAAGGAAGCTAAAGAGAAAAAAAAAAGAAAAAAGAAAAAAAAGAGTTTTCCCTTATTAAAAAAAAAAAAAAAAGGCATTTCCATTTCACAGCCAGAAAGTATCATCTCACTTCTAGTGCTCTCTGCTTTTTCTGAGGAGCTAGAAGTTGGCAGAATGAAACAACTCCAGGAAGTATCACTGAGTGGAAAAAAAAGCAAATTTCTGGGAGTTTAAACCATACAATGGGATGCCACACAGCATCTGCTCCTTTGGCAAAGTATCGCCTCACATTTGTTTTGAGACATCAACAGCTTTATTCATTATTAAGGATTATTCACATGCCAAGGAAAGATTGGCATTTCTGAGAGAGGCTCCATGGGTTTTAGCACATGCCTCCTTATTCAGAGTTTACACCAGAAATATGGCACCCACCATCCTCTTGTCCTTAAAAAGATTTGTCTCATTGATTAGCGCATGGTTTAGATCAAAACGAGGAGACAGGAACAATTCCAGTCAGTGCGAGCAGTCCCTTGTCTGAAGGATACACCTCCAGAAGTGATGAGCTGTTGATCACTTAGACAAAAACAAACCCCAAACCCTGAAAATGCTTTGAATTGGGAAAGGGATCTAATTTGCAGCTCATCACCTGACTGCCAGGTATCCTTGGGTGCTGCTCTAATGGTCCCCCTCCTTGCCAATGCTCCCTCCAGCTATGTGCACCCATGGGTAAGGTAGAAAGATTTTTAAATCCTAGATAAAAACAGGCCAGCCCTGGTCTGTGATGAACTATGCATGAAATAAGGGTGTTTCTTAACACAGATGCCCTCAAACTCTTCCATCATTCCTGAAGCTCTCTGTGCTGAGCCCCTGGCTGCCCCACAGGGTTTTACCCACAGCAAAGCTGGGCAGGCACAGAGAGGGTTTTGTCCAAACACTATCCCTGTGCCTGCCAAAACTGGCAAGACAGCTCTGCTCTTCATCAGAAAACCTGGCCAAAAAAGCTGCAGAGCAGAAGATGCATCTCTTCCCGAGAGGATAAGTAGCTGAGCTCTATATAACCCAGAAATGATTCAGAAAAGGCAACGGAGAGACCCTCTATGAGCAAAGCACAGGGCTGACCCTTCCCGCACAGGATCCCATCTGCCATAACCCCACCCCAAGAATCCCCTTTAAGCCAGTTCACAGAACTTTTAAAACCATATATTTGAATATTTTCATGCATATGAAGTTCTGCTTCACTGTCCTTGTGGGATAAGCCAGTTAACCAATAACCTCCACCTATAAAGTCTATCTTCTGGCTGCAGTAAGCATCAAGACATGAACAGGATCAAGGCAGCATGAGGGAATGTCTGAACAGCTCCAAGCCTGAGCCAAAAGCCCGTTTGTAACTCTGAACACTTGCACACACTGATACAGGGTTAACCAATGTGCAGGGGGGTTGTACAAGGGAGTTAGAGGAATTCTGTTGCTTAAACAAAAGTATTGTCTGTACCTATCATGCCTACTAAGCAGAACAAAGGCTCTAACCATTGATAAGGAAAAGCAGACACCTGGTTCTATTGACAAGGAAAAGCAGAGGCCTGATTCTACTGATAAGCAGCTATTGATAAGGAAAAGCAGAGGCCTGAAGGGGGAGAAGCAGATGGTTTATGGCTGGGACACCGACCAAACCCTAAGGCCATACGTGAAGACTAAAAGGTGAAAAGTTCAAGAAGAGGAAGACTCATTTACTTCATCTTGAAGACCCCTACCCACAGGAGGAAGACTCAGTTACTTCATCTCGAGACCCCTGCCCATGGCCAGAGGGGGCACTGCGCAGGCGCAAAGGACTTTCTAACTCATTATAATATGAGGCAGGGATAGGACATGAATATATATAGGCATATTGTGCAACCTTATGAATATATATAACTATAGAGAATAAATGTAGAGGGAAACAACGCTGAAGCACGCATGACTTTGAGGAATTATCCCCGTGCGTCTCAGCGCTGAATGAAAAGCATACCTACTTTACAACTTTAACGAGTTGTGGAGTCAATCCGCGCATCAACACAAGCACCTATCTCAGGTTTACCTGTGGAAATAGCAGATTTGAGAACACAGTGCCTGTGCCCTGTTCCTGTGACCTACTCCCCCGGATGCTGCAGTACACCCCATCCATCTAGTGGCCACAGCTCCCAGCCCAAACCGAGCCAGCTTGCATCAGCTGTACTTTAATGTGCTCATCTGCACTCCACAGCCACTTCACAGCTGATTGAGATGTCTCTGCCTCTGGCAGTGTAGTGGTTTAAGCCCAGCTGTAACTCAGAACCACGCAGCCGCTCTCTCACCCCCCCCCCCAGACATCACTCTAAGGGGGTCCCCAGCACCATGATGCCCCCACCATACACCCGCTGAACCCAGGACACAGAGGGAAAAGCAGACCTACAAAGCCACCCTTTTTGTGAGTTAGAGACCAAGCACACTGCAAGTGTGTGTCAAGCTCCAAGTTAATTCACTTCATCCACTACACAAGCAAGGGCAATCTTCCCCCCTGCACACATGTGACCATATTAAATGTTTCCGTCTATTTACAAGCGTGCCCCATCTTCACCCCTTGACCCTCAGGATGTACCTTTGGCCAGGTGACAGCATTATCAAGCACAGCGCACTCCTTCTTTCATTAGGTCAGACACAGGAGCTTGTATTTATAGGCTTTCGTGGGCTTTGAATATCTTAAATATCTTTCTGTTACTATCTATACAGAACCAAAGTCATTTCCATTTGGAAGACAGCCAGCCTGTAGCACAGCTCCTTCATCAGGCAGGTTTAAAGTCTGTGTTCAACCCTACAGGCAGCACTGCCAAAAGCTGAGACCCAGAGGCAGGGTAGGAGAGGTATATGTGCTGGGACATCTCTAGAGGTGCTGATGGCCACATACTGAGTTTGCTAAGCAATTATTTACATAAAGGTGTGTTTATATAGGGAGCAGCTCTATGGTATTTGCATACACGCTTTACTTCGTTAACTCCAGCGTTGCAATACAGACAGAAGCTGTAAGAGACACCAGGAGTACTGGTGTTTGAGGCCCCAAAGAAAGATATTCTACAGTAACTCTAATTTAGCTTGGTGAGCCAGAGGCCCTATAAACTAAGGCATCATGTCTAAAGTCACAGGGTGCTTTCTGCATTTTCTAGTAAATGTCTCAAAATGAGTTGTTTGAAGATACAATACCGCAAAGCCTGGCTTATTCAAGTTTATATTAGGAATCATCTGCCTTTCAGAAGAAGCTATATTAGAAA